ACGTTGAGGTTGGCTACGCCGGGATTCGTTTTCAGCAAGTAGATATCCACACAAGTGGACCTTGTTGGAGCATACGTAATTCTAAAATGTAGCATCGTGCTACAGATGGTAATAAATTGTAAAATTGGAAGTTTATAGTTAGATAGCAAATGGTTTATTATCACATTTATTTTGTTATAGTGGTTTTTCAAGGGAATATATATGAATATTGTTTAACTTTTAAATATATTCTGTTTTTTAGTTTTTAAAAAACGTTTGTTCTCGGAAATATTCTTTTCTGATTTGCTGATATAATAACAATGTGATAAAAGTTCAAAAATGTTATATATTTTCTATTTTTATGCCAAAATTTAAGAAACTAACAATTGCTTAATTTATAGTGTTTGATAGTGCTGTTATTATAGAAAATGAAGTATTTTTTGTGATATTAGGAATATTTTTAGTAATTTTATTGCTTAGACTAGGAATATTTCTTTTACCATATATAAATTTGTTTAATAGACACTATTTACTCCTTTAGATTATTATTGATTACTGTATAATATGTAGCATTACCCAACTCATTTGTGAATTGTTGAATAAATAAATACAATGACTATATATTTTCGCATTTTAAGTGCATTTTTGATTACACTAAAAAAGAAAATCAAATCTCGAATAATATAATGTGCTGAAGAAATAATTAAAGAAAAATATTTCAAAGTGATTGTAATGATTTTAAGAAGGTATCTTATTTACTACACAAACTAATGTTTTTATATACTAATAGAGTAGGCCCTCAATGATGTGAACAAGGCATACCTAACAATCTAAATTTCCCCATTGTCTTAAATCCCTGATATAACTGATACATCCCCAGTCGTATTAGCAGGAGAGATGCTGTTTTATTTGTACATTCACTTTATATAGGTCGTGTTATCTGGGTTCTACAAATTTTGAACAATGAGTAATCATATGAATTGTTTGCTTTTTTTTTGATAAGTATATGTATTAGCGCTTTATATTTTTATGTAGGTATATTTATTTTGCTAATTGTATATGTTTATTATTACATACTAGCTGTAACTCCGCCTCGCTGAGAATAATCCTTTTCACCCCTTCAAAAGTAGAATTTCTTAAACACGAAAGAGCATTAAGATCAAGTTTCAAGTAAATCTGACTACAAACAATAATGTTCCATACAAACTTAGGCAATTT